GAAAATCTATTAACATACTAGACGCAAACTTTACCTTTGTAATGCTTGGGGTATAACCAATCAGTTGTTCTTTTGTATTTTGTTGTTTTGCTCATTTGTTTGATTGGTTGATTGGTTGTAGCATAACATTGTTATTTTGGATAATAAATTATGATTTCCAAAAAAAAGAGAAAATATAATCCCCCTCCCCGTATGATTTTCCAGATTTATTCCCATTTTCCCTTCCCCTCAATCCTCCTTTGAACTCCGATCTACTCACCATCCAACCACCGTTAGACAAACCGAAACCACCATCGTGTTCGTTGTTGGTATCGTCGGTTTTAACTCAATTTCCATGGTTTTTCCGTCGATTCACGTCAATCCAACCACCCATTTTTGACACCTCCCACGCCATCGTGTTCCTTGAATCGTTCCGAGTCCACCGGTGTCCTCCGTGTCTCCGTTGTTGCCGGCGTGTGGAAGGGTGAGGAAGTTAAAGTTTTTGATGTTTCGGAATCGAGCTCTCCACAGTTAAAAATTTTGAACCGAGCTTGGTAAGTGTCTCAAAATACCTTAAAATAATTTTTAGAAATTTTTTGGAAATTTTTCAAACACCGTAACACTATTCATGCGCCCCACGCGCCACCCCTGAGAGTTGGCTTTGTCTGACAGTAAAAAAAAAAGAAAGAAACCCAGTTTGACCGGTCCAACCTGACTCGACCCGACCCAGCCCGACTGACCCGACATGTTTACCGGCGTTGATCGTGATTTATCACCTGATTCGATCCGTTTTTTGAAATTAATCCCTTTTTTTTATGAAATTTCTATTGTTATGTATTTGAGGAGTTATTGGGTGATGATTTCGAGATCAAGGGTGTTCGAATGAAATTTAAATGGTCGATCAGTATGGCACGAAAATCGAGATAATACTTTACTACCTCTTTATGCTTTATGGAACATGTTGATATTAGTAAATACATGAATAAGATAATATTTGTCTCATTTGTGTAGATAATTAATTTCTACACTCGACCTAAATACGGTAAAAATTCAGTAACAAATTATGGTTCATATGACTTTTATAAGAAATTTAGAGGTTGTTATAATTAAATTACAAGTTCTGTGTTTAGTGATAAGGAATCAACCTAGATATGTAACTTATAATTTATTTCATCAAAAGTTAAATGTTAAAGGTACTTGGATGAGAAATTATGAGAATACTTCGGTAGGGTAAAATTACGAAAATACCCTTATGTTGTAAAAAGACAATATTTGACCATGGAAGTTGGATAAGGGGTTTTTAAAGACATATTGATCTAATGAAATTACTTATGTGCATAAGAAATGATAGTTTTTCTTAGAAAATTTGGATAACTAATTTTTAACCCCAAGAGGGTTTGGGCAAGATTCTAGAAGTCTGTTATAGAATCATTTCAAGATCAGAGAATGTTCGGGAAAACAATTAACCATAGGATCTCTAAATTATAATTATTTTCGTTAAGAGTTAATTCTGAGATTATTTACTTAAAAAATTACAAAAATTCCCTTGAGAGATAAAAATAGTCCAAGTTGACTCTGAATGGGAAAGTAACATGAGAATTTATACTTAAACCGATAAATTACTTATTTGATTGTTGAGATCCTACTTTTGTATGGAAAATTCCTGATAATTTGTTAATAACATCTGAAAAGACTTTTAACCTGGAAATCTCTGATTTAAGAATAAATTATCAATGGTGCTTTTTTGTCAGAACTATTCAAAATGACTAGAAAATTTGATATGTTTGAATTAAATAATAAGATCAGATGGATGAAAATGATTGAAATACACTGGATCTGTAAAAAAACCAAAATACCCCTATAATGGAAATAACTCAAGAATATCACCAAACCCATGAATGAATGAATATACTCAACCTTTGGAATGAATGGAAAAACATTGAGCACCAAAATGACCAAAATACTGTTATGGTCTAGACTGAATAAATATCTTGGGTTAATTAAGGAAATGAGAATAAACTTAGGTGTTGTATTACCCTTAAAAGTAATGGAAAATAATTTAAGTGAGTATATCAACCCTAATGCTATGCCAATACCTGAATGGCATAGATATCACTTGAATGTGTGTTCGTCTCCTCAAGTTTGGATCGATGATAATTTTGGAAGTATTCAGCTCAGTTCAACTCTAGATCGCATTCAGTACTAAGAAGTGAATATTCGTTAGACAAATCAACTATGAAGACCAAATTAAACTGAACAGAAATATAATATGTATATGAAATTCCGAAACGTTTGAATTACTCTAGAAAACCCAGAAGTAACTGGAATTGACTTGACAACTAAATGAGCTAAGTAACCTCAATGACTGAGGATTAATTAAGTGATTTTGATAAGTCTAGAAACTCTGATGAGTTTATAAGATGTATTGTCCTTATGGGTCATGAACTATAAATCAAGCACGCCAGTATTTCATGATATCATGGAAGCGTGGAAATGAAATAAAGACCAATGGAAGACCAATTTAGCGATGATTTTGAATATGATCTATGGACAAGAATTTGTGGTATTAAAGAGTAAATATTCTGGAAGGACAATGAATTGACCAATCGACAAACATTTGTTCTGGAAGCTATTCATCTCGAGTTGTTCGATTATCCGATCAATCGACATAGTTGTAAAGAATTCTGAATACCCTTCTGATTACGTACAACTTTCGAATAAGATATGATCAAGATAATTCATATTCTCAATAGCGGATGATTCTGTCAGTTAACAAACTCTTCCAATAGTGATTCTAACTTTCGACATTCTATCGGTAAACTGAAGATCCATGTTTTCTCTGCCGATAAGATTATTCAGTATCTCTGAATAACATCTAGAAACTCTATTGTGTTCCCTAATCACATGAATGTTTTATCTTATTTCCGATTTGAATTCTGTTCTGATTTCTTATCTGAATTTTGTTCTGATATCTTATATGATTTCTGTTCTAATATCTAATATCTCCATTTAAATGATGAAAAAATGTTTTATTTGGGGGGTATTATTGGAGGAAGTATATATACAGACTCCTCGGCTTTGTGCTCAGGGTCTTACTGTTGTGCCGGGGTTGTATGGTTCTGGGGAACCTATACATTATGATGTGTTCGGTTGAGAGATTTACTATGGTTTTTGATAAATGTTTTATTTGGGGGGTATTGTTGGAGGAAGTATATGAAGGCTCATCGGCATTGTGCTTAGGGCCTTAATGTTGTGCAAGGGGTGTATGGTTCTGGGGAACCTATACATTATGTATGTGTTCGGTTGAGAGAATTACTATGATTTCTGAATTTTAAAAAAATATGTTTTAAGAAAAGATTTGTATCTTTTCACTGGTTTTGTGGGAACACACTAGATAACCTATTATGATCCCATGAACTTAGTTATCCGAAATATTTCTCTGAACTGAAAGCTCATTGCCCGTTATTATCTGAAATATTAGTAGGATCTCCGCTCTGCATAAAAATCCATAGATGTTCGAAATCAATAAGGAAATATATGTTTATCTGTATCTGCACGTTCTTCAGCATCATCTGGTAGTTCTGTATTACTGAACTTTCCAAAGCTCACTCTGTTACTCATCTTTTCAGGCAAAAAGAATTGTACCAGTACAGCTATCGACTTCAGTAAGAGAGTTCTTACGGTGCTGTTTGCAGAGTATGGTACATGTGATTAGGGGGCATGTAATTGTATTTTGTTTTATATATGAGTCTGAAAATTTGTTTTATTTCTGCATGCTTATAAATCATTTTATAAGTTACATGTTTTAATAAAAGTTTTAAATTTTCCGCTATTTTTACAGTGGGTCGCTCTGGTGACCCTAATGTGACACTCCAGATCGGATCGGGTTACCCGCATCGGTCTGAGGGGGTTACATCTAATATATTCTTGTATTTCTATTTTTTTTCTTCTAATTTTTATAAGCATAAATGTTTGATTAAATAGTCAACTTGGTCATATTCATTTTTATAACATTTTGGCTCCAACACTCTATTTTGGGCAAAAAGACTCCTCTATAGATGGTAACAAATGATTAATGCTCCGAAATAAGAGTCTTGTTACCCTAAAATAAAACATTGAATGTCAAAAAAACTTAAAAAAAAGAATAAGGATCAAAATGACTATTCGGTCAAACGTTAAAAGGTGTTTTTGCCCTAGATTAAAACGTTGGGTTCAAGAGCTAAAAAAATAGGGACTAAAATGATTATTTTGGTAAATGTTTGAGGGATAATTTTAACATTATGACTATTTTTAAATCATTTTTAAAGTTTTGTTCCTATTTTTATATCTCGTTGTTAAGTTTGATCCTTAACAAAAACAATGACATGATATAATATAATAATAATTTTAATCTTAAAACCCACATATCATATCAAATTCTTCCTAATTCAAAATAAATTAATAAGTTATTAATAATTTTTCCAAATAGTTAATTATGTATTACTAACACCTTGTTTTGTCTTATGCACGAATTAATTATTCTTATTACTAAAATCTATTTAAATGGTTTTTAATGGTCAAATGATTACAATATAATATATGTTTATAATATTTTTTATAAACATTGATAATATATACATTTTACAAACGCAACTACTCGAATTCATCTTTCTAATTATTACCGACATACACACACTTTATATCTGCTTAAACCCGATATCTCTACGAAGAACAACATTATCTTTTATCATTAAAGTCGCGTGATGGGTTCATATTTAAATTATTTTATAAGTAATGTGAAAAAAATTAGATTTAAATACATTATTTTAAAAGTTTAAACATATTATTAGACCGAATGTAAAACAAATACTTAACATAATATAGAAAAAACTATGATTATTTTACAAGCAATCTTAACCCCATTAACTAATATAGTATAGATAAGGGGCAATTTTGGCATTACGAGAATTGCATGAATCCATAATAAAATACAAAGCTTTCACAGTCTCAGTGTCTCTCCATCACGTTCTGATTATCCCTGCGGTATACAACGATACGTACAAAAATCCACAGAAATCACTGTCTTTTTCCTTTCTGTAAACAGTTTTAAAGCCGTGTTTTACTTCTTCTTCATCGGAGGTCTCTTTTGAAAGCTGCGGCGGATATGGGGAAGCGACGCTGTGCGGCGTTGGCGTTAGCCACGATAATGGCGGTGGTGATGGAGTTGGTGTCCCACACAGTAGCAACAAGTAGAAGAATTATGTTGACTAATGGTCTTGGAATGACTCCTCCCATGGGGTACGCTATTTTCTAGTTCATTTTTTACTAATTTTTTTTGTCGGTGGCCATAGTTTTTCTTTTTGATCCTTTGTGTAGTTGTCTGCGTTGAAAGTTACACTGTTTTGATCTGATCAGAATTGTGATTAATGACAAATTCGAAATGTGTTCAGTTCTTTTCCGATGATTTTTATGTATTTGGAGAGTTATCGAGTGTGATTGTCTTTTGCTGAGATTATGTTCTCTGTTTCATCCCTTATTATAATGGTTGAGAAGGAAAAGTTTGATAATCGAATTCTTTTTTTTGTTTATAATTTTGGTTTAATTTGTTTTTCCTTATTTCCTTTTTCATTGCAGTTGGAACAGCTGGAATCACTTTGGATGCAATATTGATGAAAAAATGATCAGAGAAACTGGTAAATACAACACTCATTCAATGCATTTTCCTTTAAATCTATTCGATACAGACTCGAATCCGAGTAACATAGGTTTGTTTTGACAGCTGATGCTCTAGTTTCGACCGGGCTTTCCAAGCTTGGATATGAATATGTTAATATAGGTATGCTGATATATATATTGTTTTCATCTAAAGTAGTTGCCGTTATTGGCATCGTCGATTTAAAATCGCTGATCAACCATTTCAATATCTTTTTTAGATGATTGCTGGGCCGAAATTTCTCGAGACGACAAGGTATTTTCCTTTTGTTTTTTGTTTTCATTACAAGTTTGATGTTATAGAATGCTATAATGATCGGACTCGAATCAAATTTTCAGGGTAATCTAGTGCCTAATAAGTCGACTTTTCCATCCGGAATAAAAGCTGTGGCAGATTATGTTCACAGAAAGGGTCTTAAGCTCGGGATCTACTCGGATGCGGGGTAATGTAACTCTACCAGTGCTTTATATCATTTTAGAATTTATACGAATCTTGTAGTTGCTATAACAAAGCTACTGGATATGTACTGTTTTTTGTTGTACAGGTATTTTACTTGTAGTAAGAAAATGCCCGGTTCACTCGGTCATGAAGAACAGGATGCAAAAGCCTTTGCTTCATGGGTATGGATATCGATGTTCATTGGCGTGCTTGTGTGCTTGTATGTATGCTTAAATCAATATTGTTTTTTTCCCCTTTTTGCAGGGTATTGATTATTTGAAGTATGATAACTGCAATAATGATGGCTCGAAGCCAACAGTTAGGTATTATAATCGTATCTATGGCTTGAAGCAATGGTTTTTAAAACATCGAGCAATCTTCTTATATGTCATTACTGCTCTTGATGTAGATACCCTGTCATGACTCGTGCTTTGATGAAGGCCGGCCGTCCCGTCTTCTTCTCTCTGTGTGAATGGTACTTTCCAAGGCACCATAACTTAATCCTTTATTCAAGTATTTGCTAGTTCTTCTAGGTTCGACTCATGTTTTGTTGTGGTTTCTCAGGGGAGATATGCACCCTGCTGAATGGGGAGCTCCCGTAGGAAATAGTTGGAGGACAACTAATGACATAGCTGATAATTGGGAAAGGTAAAGATTGATGTTGAGAAAATCGGGATTTCTTTTTGTTTCAGCTTTCATAGCCTTGGCCGAGAGTGGTCGAGCCATAACTTGTTAAATTTTTATGCCTGGCAGTATGATCTCCCGAGCTGACCAGAATGAAGTTTATGCTGAATACGCAAGGCCTGGTGGTTGGAATGGTTAGAAACACTGAACCGGTTTCGATCTTTTTAACCAATATAAAAATTATTTATAAGTACAATTTCTGTGAAACTTATTAGCATGCTATTGATTCCGATAGATCCGGATATGCTCGAGGTGGGAAATGGAGGGATGACAAAAGATGAATACATAGTACATTTCAGCCTGTGGGCTATTTCCAAGGTATTATAGATGAAATCTTCTCCTTCGGTGCCAGATGATAAACATGTTGCATCTGGTTGATAAAACGCAAATGTTATCGCAGGCTCCTCTTCTTCTTGGTTGCGATATAAGGAATATGACAAAAGAGACTTTGGATATCATCACGAATAAGGAAGTCATTGCCGTTAACCAAGGTAAATTATGTGTGCTTTTCGACAGATACCATGGCATTATGTTTCATCCCTTGTTCAATGCATTCATCTGTAGTTACCTTTTTGTTTTTACTTGATGTTATGAATAGATCCATATGGTTTTCAAGCTAAGAAGGTTAGGATGGAAGGTGATCAAGAGGTAAAATTTTATACAGCTCCATTCTCGTAATGATTGTGCTTTGGACATTTCCTCGGATCATCGAGCCTACTAGGATTTGACCGTCACCCTGCGTGCTCTTACGTAGATAGTATTGTCTTGTTTGTTTATCCACAAAACCCTCAACCCTTTGTCACATGAAGATGTGCCTCCGTCGGACCTCTGTTGTTTTTGCGTACTTGACTTGTTAAGGGATAAATCTTTGGTTCCCTTCAGGTGACAAAGGCTTTAGGGGCAATATTATCAAAGTGTATGTGGATTGTGGAGTCGACAACCAAAACCCGATACGTACGGTGTAGTTGGGAAAGACATCTGAATCCCGGTCATTACAGTTTTTTGTTCACCGTGCTCTGCTTTGATTCACTTCTCTACTAATTTTTCTCGGCCTTCTAACAGATATGGGCAGCTTCTCTTTCTGGTTATAGACTTGCCGTGGTCCTACTCAATAGGGGTCCAGTTCGTTATTCGGCAACGGCTCTCTGGGACGACATCGGACTCGACCCCAAAACAGTTGTCGAAGCAAGAGACCTTTGGGAGGTACTTAATTGTGTCCACAATCTTTATCCATGTCCTGTACTATACTTTCATCTTCCATTCCAAGCATGACTTCAACTCTTTGTGATATCTGTCACTCGAATTCGGAGTATGACCTTTCATGTACAAATGCACGCCGGACACGAGTAATTTAAATGATCCACTCTCCGGTCCGAGTAACGTAGCTCGAAAACGGCCGACTAATGTATATGTATGCATCTTTTTGCAGCACAAAACACTGAGGACACAATTTGTGGGGAATTTGACAGCAACTTTGAGCCCTCATTCATGCAAACTGTATGTATTGAAGCCAATTGGTTAAACAGTAATGTTTTTAGGCTTTTTGAGCTAATATTTTCGCCTGAAATTGCAGTCAGCATTTAGAACTTGTAATTCCAGATGTGCCATGGAATTATATTATTTAGCTTTGGAGTTTTGTATCTCTAACACTGCATTGAAATAAAGGGACCCTAAACGCAATTCTACCATTTGGTATAGTTTAATTTTTCAATGATTTTAGGAGGTCTAATGAGAAATTTCAAGAAAATAGAGGGATCAAACTAAAATTTTCAGAACATTTGAAGGGATTAAAGTAAAATTTTCACAATTTTGCGCTTAAGAGTGTAGTGGATCGCCTTAACGAAGACATTTCTCGGAGTGTGTGTGTGTGTGTGGGGGGGGGGGGGGATGGGACTTGTCTGATCATCATTAATGAGCACTTGACAGATAAGTGAAGAGAAACAACCCAAAATAATTGGTAGAATATTTAATGTGGTGCCTATATTATCAAAAAAATTTAATGATCTGATCATTATTTCAATTAATGTCAGTATTTTAATTATATAAACGTCTAGAAAAGGGATAAAAAATCTAACAATAAACACTAACCAAAAGATAAAAGAAAATTTCACGTATAGAATTAAGGTGGACAAAGAAGTTTATGTATCAAGTTAAAAAATGAAAAAAAATTATGATATTGTTGTTGAAAAAAAACTCGAATAAAGTGAAGCAAGAATAATTTTGTGAAATAAGATATTTGTTACAGTTCAAATCAGAGATGCCAAGAGGGCAATGCGTCTTAAATGGGATTGAGGGAGACACATGAACTGCAATGTGTCTCCCCTCTAACCTGCATATATTTCAATCGACAATTCTATGCAATTCCATTTGCAACTTAAAGTTGCTGCTCCATGCATCTCCGAATTGGAATGAAATTGCAATCCCATTTGAAATTACTGCTCCATGCTGGGATTGGAATGAAATTCCATTTGAAATTGCAAGGTGGTGGTTGCAAGGACCACCGCGTGTCTTCCGAGGCTAGACGAAGACGTATTCTCTTCAATGCGTTAAAAGATTGATAAATTTAGGGATTAAAAGTTAGTTTATTCATAAAAACATAAATAATTCATCCATTTGTTTCGTTGCACTTTTAAAATTATGGATATGTACGAGATTTAAATTCGATAAATTCGATCTAATCTTATATGGTCGTTTTTTTTAATTTGTGTATGGGTCGGGTCAAATTAGATTTTTTAAGATAATGTTAGGTCTAGTTCAAGTTTAGAATAAAAAATCTATAATCCAACTCAATCCGTGAGAATATTATAACAATCCCTTATATATCTAGAGATAATTATAATAATATTTTTCTCTCTCTCTATATTTTTTGAATAATATGTGTGTGCATATTTTATCAAATAAAAATACGATATATATATTTGTGTCGTGTAAGATCAAATACATGTTTTTTCCTCCATCTACGTATAAGGAAGTTTTTTTTAATGAGGTTTCTACTAATTGTCTTGTTTTGTAATTTCCTGATCCATGGAAATATAATACAGCTCTTTTAAAATATATATATAATACTCTAATCAAATTCAAATTGATCAAAACCGACTCGACTCGTGTTCATCTTTTATTTATAACCCAAAATCTGCATCTCGAAATAACTCGATATCCCATAGATGGGTGTTCATTGTTTGATTATAACTTAATTAACCAATTAGTTCGATTAATCGATCGGGTAATTATATGTTAGATCGATTAACGGTTAAGAAGGCTTTCAGAGTTTGAGTATTGGTTAATTCAATTCGAAATCGATTAATTAATCGAAAATATTAAATGGATATTATATATATTTCAAGTTCAAACTCATTATGAATCAAGACCCAACTAAACTACTCAAATTAGCTAGATGAATCAAGTTATTTTAGTGGTTAAAAAAATAATTGTAATCCTTAAAGGTATCAGATTCGAGCACCAGAGTGTATAAAAATATTTATGACGCTTACATTGTTAAATAGTTAAAAAAAATTAAAATATATAATACTTATAATCATCTTAGATTAATCAAAAAAATTCAAATTAATTAACTATTAAAAAATTAATTAATATATAATTTTAAATCAATTCAGTTAAAATTTCAGTCCATGACCAAATAAACGCAGACTATCATACAGTCAACACTTCCAGCCAACCTCGACGCCTGCACGCCTATCCTTTGCCAAATTTATTCCATTATATATTTTGGGTAAACTTTTCTTTTCATCACTCATCTTTAATTTTATTTCTATTTTAATCACACAGTTTTAATCTAATCATTTAGTATTAAAAATTGAATTTTTTATCCCTCCATCATTATTATGTGAATTTATGAGGATATAACTTATGTTATTATTATTTGAGTCACGAAAGTATCAATTAATATTTTATCAAATATTAATTTTTGTATATTTTATTGAATTAAGTTCACTTTCAGTTTTGGTGGATCTCCAACAATTGGAACATTCATTTGAAGAATCTAACAATTCAGAGGCTTTTTATTGAGACGAGGAATAAAATATCTTCGTTTGAGCTTATTCGAACGATGGAAAAAAAGAGAACAAAGAACAAGAAATTGAAGTGTTCAATGCTTAGTTTGTAGTGTTTAGGAAATTATTAAATTAACACAAAATTCATATTCAGGAGTACAAAATAAGTTTGGCAGATCGTTAGTGATGATGGTCGACAAGGGCCAAAACAACAAACAACATAGTAACCAAAATCTAAACTAGTTCGAAGAAATGAAGAGAACATGAAAGGAAGAAAAATAAGAATGAAGATAGAGGAAAATGTCAAAAAAAAAAACATAAATAGACTTGTATCGAAATATAAAATGACTGTTTGTATATTTGACTTTTATAGGGATCCGAAACGATATTTTGGTGAAAATTTTCATGTCATCACAGGCACAACATTTGTAATTAACAATAGACGAAAAAGAAAATCAATCTTCAAATTTTAGCAATCAAATTAAAAAAAATTCAAAGTTGAGTAATTAAATTGAAAAGTGTAATGTTTTAGTGGTAAAAAAAGAATAAAGTTAAAATGGAGTGATGAAAAACATAGTTTACCCATGTTTATTTTACTGCAATATATCTTCTAGATAAGAACCAAAACAAATCAAAGTCGAAAATATCCAAGTTTTCAACAAAAAAAAAATCTTTCGTTTTTGTTGAAGAATTTTGATTCCATGGTTCAAAAAAAGAAGAATTTTGATTCGAAGGTGACGTTTAAAACCAACAAGGTTGCTTCCCGGATTTTCGAGCGCCAAATTCGCACCCCAGCTCCCGGTACCAGTGTATAAACAATACCCAATTTTTTTTTTTTTGGTTTTTTGATTCTATGTTCTTAGTTTTATTGCCCTCCATATGTTTGATGTTTTGTTTCAATTAGAACAGGTTCATTGCGCGTGGAGATTTTACGAGAATTTAGTTCCCCGTTTAACGATATACGATGTGGAATGCCCGGATCATTCGTTTTTTAAGTTCACCGATGACGGTCAGTACTTGGTGAGTTTCAGTAAGAACCGTCGGGATTTGATTGTTTATAGACCGAAGTGGCTTTCCTACTCTTGCAATGTAGAGGATTGTGATGATACCCATGAACTCCCTCCCCAAGCCAAGAGGATTGAGAGTTTCTTCACGCAGTTGTACGTTCGATCACGTGCTTCCAGCAACGAGCTTATATGTAAAGACTTCTTTCTCTACATGGAGAGTAATCAATTTGGGATTTTCGCTACTTCCACTGCTCCAGTTCAAGAGGCTCGTGCCGCTGACGGAGCAATTCTTGGGGTCCCATCGTTTGAAAAAATCACTATTCACCTCGTGAGGTTTATATAAATCAAGATTAAACACTGCATTAATTATAGAATTCTTTCTGTAAATGGCAATTTAAGCAATCTGATGAGCACTGCATTTGTTAATGCTATTTAGTTTTGCAATACATTCAGGTTGCAAGATGGGGTTAAACTAGGTGAGAAGGTATTTCACAATGATTGTGTCAATTTTATCCACAATATGGGTGCCTTCTTGTACGATGATTTGCTCACGGTTTTTATAAGACCAGCACTATTGTATGGATTTGAATGTTGGACAACCAAGAAGGATCATGTAAGGAGGATAGAGGCCTCAGAAATGAGAATGCTTCGGTGGACATGCGGTAGGATTCTGTGGGATATGACAACAAACTCTGCTATTAGGATGTCCTTGGGGTGGTGCCTGTTTCCGAGAAATTGAGGGAAGGAAGACTACGGTGGTTTGGGCATATCCTTAGGCGACTACCTTCTGATGTGGTCAGGAGGGTAGAGTCGATTACAGTCGACGGTGCCAGAAGGAGAGGACGACCAAGGCGGAAGTGGGAAGACTGCTTGAGATCTGATATGATGGATTTAGCCTTTACCGAGGACATGACCTCTGATAGGAAAGTATGGAGACTTAAGACTAGGATAGTCGAGTAGTGTGGGTCACATCTCTAGGGTGTATCATCTCTGTCTTCTTTTAATGCCTTTGTAGTAATTTACATAACTTCTACTTTTTATCTGTTTCTGTTATTGGTATTTATGAAGGCTTAGAACTGGCCTTGCTATCGTTTGACTTCTGTGTATCTTTTTCTCCACTTTTAAATTTAGTCGGTTCTTATGTTTCTGTCTATATACAAAGATTACTGCCCATTACAGACGCGCATATGATATTAATGATATTAATGACTGCATATGAATACTGTACAACTATGTATTTATGTATTTATTTATACATGCATTGTATTTTATCTATATTTTTAATTTTCTGACTGCCGGAGGTCTTTTACGGAAGTTACTCTCAACCTGACGTTGGGGGCAGTCTACTACCCTACCTCCCCCTTACCCCATTGCATATGGAAATTGGGTTTTGTTGTTGTTGTTGTTGTTGATGTACGAGCCATTGGTGCATATTGTCGTGAAGATGATGAGCTTTTTATAAATTCCAGTTCTCAGGCAAGATGCTTTTGCTTTTATGTTCTCTATCATGTGCTTAGGCATCAGTGATTCTACTGCAAATGTTATTACTTTCTTACTAGTAAACTGAAGTTACTGGTTTTTTCAATTCATATACTTCCTGTTTGTCTGTAAAACTCTTCAATGTAGAGTTACTTTCGCTCTCGTAAATGTTTTTGACACAAATGGCTTTCTCATTACCATACTCTGGACTCTGCCCATAGTGTTTATCATTTTAGTTCTTAAACCTGAGAGCCTAACTATTTTTTACCAAGTTTCAAGGTGGGGTGTCTGGACTAACAATCTGACTATTGATGATAAAACTTCAAAACATCTGACGAAAAGTTAACTGCATCAGTTGTTGGGCAATCGTGGAGACCTTGTAGATAATGGTATAAATCATGACCAGCCTAATTCAAACAATTCTTTTTTGAGTGGTATCAAACTACGCTTACTTTCGTTCATATTCTGAGACATATGGAGTGAAGAAACAGATCAAACCCAGGTTAGTTAGTCGGCTTTCTGTGCTCCCAGAGTAATTTTCATTTTGTTTCGTTCATGTTTGATTACATTCTTTTGAAGTTGCTTTTGTTTTCACATCGCTTTATATTATCAGTAGCTCTAATCAACTTCATGAAAAGTTTCAGACAGTTTTATCTCTTCTAATTTCAGATATTTAATTGCAATGTCTGTTTGCTATATCAGAGGGTCCAGAGCCTGAAGAAGAAGTTCTATTTCCATTTCCAGGACTATGTTGATTTGGTGATCTTGGAGGTAAAATTTTAATTTCTCATCTTCTACACATTTGTGCTGCTGTTTTGTACAAGTCAAATGAAATTTACTTGTCTGTTCTGTTTAGTTCTTCGATATAAGATGATCTAGGTCTTATTACACTAGTGGATGTAGATTTATGTACAACTCTTGCACAGGTGCAATTCTTGGATCGACATCATCTCCTTATCAAGTTTGGCAAAGTCGATGTAGGGGTAGGGTTTTCTTGCTTTTGCTTGAACCTATGTTACTCGGACTTGTTGTGAGTGTCGGAAATGGGTATGTGTTTGACACAGGGTATGTTGATACATTCGATTTTTTCCCAAGACCTTCATGTATTTAGAGTCTTTGGAGGATCATATCTCCATTCGCAAGTTTGGATATGTGTTGGATGTGGTTTTCAAACACAAATACCTCAATAGAAATGACAAGTTAGAGCAACATAGTCCTGTACGATAACAAAAGTAGGCTTGAAATATTTGAGAAATATATCATAGTGGCTTGATGAAAGATTTTCAAAATTCATATTTCTTTATCACAAAACCCTCAAAATTCCAGGGATCACGAAACGCTGACCAACTTGCTGCATTCTTTGCTGTATATAATATGGAGACGACTGAAATTGTTGCATTCTATCAGGTATTTTTTTCATCATTATTTTGTTTGTTGTCTTGTTGAATTCTTGAACAATCACATAATCTATTACTTCATTCAGAATGCAGCAGACGAGCTTTACCTTCTCTTTGAACGTTTCTGTGACAATTTCCATGCAATATTAATACATTCGATGCATATGAATTTCATATCTTGTCACTCAAATAATATTCATGCTCTTGAAAACCTAAAGTGGATGAAGAATAATGCCCCTAGTGCCTCGCAGGTGTGAATTTCGTAATCAGAAGTTGTTGCTTGTCTACTATTTTACGGTTTTCTTGCATCTTTTTCTGGAATTCTCTTCTGATATTTTCCTCATTAGGGTCATGCTAGCACAATAATATTGTTGCTGGAGATCATTTCGGCATGGTATCTTAAGTCTTCAATCTTCGGTTTTGTATGTATAATTGCCTCATGACTCTTCTGCAGTTTGTAAAGAGGATGCTATCCTCGTTGCCTTTAACTTGTCAAGCAACGAGTCCTTCTCCCTACTTCGATCAGTCTCTCTTCCCTTCAATGAGAAGGTGTGATTAACAGGCTGCTAGTATATTCCCATGCTTTCTACCTCATTTTTTACGTCGACGTTCTTTTTATATCAGACGTTTAAGGCCATAGTTTCTCTTTGCTCTATGTATGCCTTCCCTCTCCTTATTGTTTATTTGCCCCTTCGAATCCAGTTTATTAATTCCTAACCGTTTTCTGGCACGTTCTTGCAGCTAATCTCTGCAACTGACCGGCCCAGACAAGCAATGGATCACCCCGTCAGGTTCATTTCTAGGAGGCAACCAAACATTCACAACTTCAAGATCAAGACAGGTAATACTCTTTCCTCGTGTATCCGATTACTTAAACTCGGGTTTTTCTTCAACCTTTTTTTGTCATATACTACGCAGTGTAGTATGAAAAATATTAACAGATTAACCCTTTCCGGTTTAGGCTCAGAATTCAGTAGCGCGGATGGTCGGAGCAAAAGATATTCGCATTTCATGTTCCATCCTTTTCTGACCTTGGCTCTCTCCTTCATCCAGCCCTCTATGTTCACGCCGCCATCGGCGGTGAATATTCACTTCAGGAGATAATATTTTGTAAGAGTATTTGCTTTGATGGCCGCTATCCTAACTTGTTTTGAAATTCCCTCCGTTAGTTTTTGTTGTTGTTGATATCATAGTTATCATGTACATTTGATACATAGGTAGTTGATGGTTAAAAGTTTTTGTTTAAAGTACATTAGTGGTCACTAAATCATGTTTAAATAATTATTTCAGTTATTAAACTTTCAAAAGTTATAAAATTATCATTAAATTTATCGAATTATTATAAAATGAGGATCAAATTCTTCAGCATGTGAATAAGAAAATATTATTGAATAAGGAAAACAGGGAATATTGTTCAGGGGTTATTATTCGCGACAGCGAAAGATAAATTGGTCATCAGAAAACAATTTTTTTTATAAATCATCAGAAAACAATTTATACTCATTGAATAAGGAAATATCAATAAAATATCATATTTAATATGTATTTATCATACTACCTATATATTAAATTCATCGTTTTTATATAATAATTCAATATATTTCTTTTTGGAAAAAATGGCATCATTAGTCATCAACATATTATCTCTTTTCTGTTTTGGTCATTGAATTAATTTGTTCTATCAAAAACATCACTAACATTATTTTTTTTATTTTGATAACCGATTACTAAAATTTTAACCACGTTGGTATGAATTTTGTTTTGAATTATACATCGTCTTTCTTTCTTTATCAGTGGTTCATGTGTTATTTTAATATTTAGGTGGTTTCACGTATTATTATTATATTAGTTAAATAAAAATATTAAAAAGCAATATATATCGATATGAATTAAATAGTCTCATTAGTTAAAGGGATGCTTATTATTCTTAAAGGTCTCGGGTTCGAGCACCATTATCAAATGATTGAGAGTATTTAGAAATATTCCTATTACTTGTAATTACTCATAGATTAATAATAAAAGAAAGTGTGATAAGAAAAGAGAAAATGCTACGAAAGTTTAAAAAATAAAAATTATCATGTTTATTATAATTACCTAAATTATAATATAAAAAAGGTAAATTTAATATAATTAGATAATACAATAAATACATATTGGATATGATATATTATTGATATTTCCATATCCAATGAGTATAAATAGTTTTTTAAATAAAAAATTTCGTCTTATTTAAAAGAAAATTACACCTGCAAATTCATATTTATCTTCATTAATATTATTATTATAATTGTTTCATTTAATAATAAGAAAAAAGTAGAATTTCTTTTACAGAAAAAGAATTATTTCTTTGAGAAATAATTTAATTTTATGATAACGGTGTTTGGATTAAAAAAAGGTGGCCCCAGACCGATTCACCATAGCTCCGATTAACAAATCCCGTAAACTCAATCAACTAATTCCATTCCGACGGCCTTCGCCGTTTCCTTTCTCCTCCGGTGAGTCTCGATTTCCGTTTGAATTCAGTTTCCATTTGTTTTAAAACCGTTTCAAGTCTCCAAATTATTCACATTTGGATTAATAATTTGTAGGTTGATCTAAAAGAATAATCTTACGATTCGATTCGCATTGTGGAGAGACATCTGATCATTATTGAGCTCGCATTGTCATAATCTCCGGTTTTTCTCTACAGCTGGTGTGAGATTATAAGAAAAGAGCGAAGGAACTGTCTTTTTTTGTATGTCTCTGTTTATTTCTCCTTAGTTGTGGATTTTGGCAACGACAATTACGGGCATGAACGGATATGTCAAAAAGTGGAAGTGTATCAAGGAGTGGTAATAGAGTGTCATCGTCATCTCTATCGCCGCAGCCGTTGAGCCGGCTGAGCTTTTGCTCGCAGTTAGCAACTCACTATTCTCCAATTGTGTTCCCAGAGAAGCGTACTAAGAAGCTGCAGGCTTCCTCTCGATGTGACAAAGCCTCTGTCGTGGATGATCAGCCGAATAAATCGAAGAATGATGACCACCGGATCGATATCGAAGAAGGGGATGAAAAATCTGATTTGCTTGGTTATGTGGTTCACTCAGGGAGGCTCATATTTGACAACAAAAAGAATGTTCCCGCTAATACTAATTCTGCTGATCTAGAGCAGAATTCTGCCACTGATATTGTCAACCAAGAAGCTGTTGCTGCTAAACTCACTAGCAAGGCATTGGTTTGGGGTTCTCGTGTCTTGTCTCTAGATGATGTCGTCTCGGTAACCATTTCATCTCTGAATAAATTATTCGAATGAATAAGTATTTATTTTGGATTTTGTGAGTTTGCAATCAGTCTATTTAGGTTCTTTATCTCGGCAGGTATCTTACAATGTTGGTGTTAGACATTTCATTGTGCATTCTTATCCTCTAAAAAAGGGTTCTTATGGCCTTTCGTGTTTTATTAAACCAAAGAGAAGGCGAAAGGATAATTGTTTCGTGGCTTCTAGTGTAGAAGAGGCAGTTCGATGGGTTGTTGGGTTTGCAGATCAGCAGTGTTTTATCAATTGTTTGTCTCAGACTTTCATTTCTTCAAAGGAACAAGGTTCTGAAACTTTTCCCGTCGATACTCCTCCTGAACTCTTGGTTAGGTGCAAGAATCCACCAAAAATGCTTGTTATATTGAATCCAAGGTCAGGCCATGGTCGTTCTATTAAAGTTTTCCATGGCATTGCTGAACCAATATTCAAGGTATGTTGGTGTATGTTGTATCTTAGCAATTTATATTCCCCTCAAATGAATAAGTACATGTTAATTCTCTTAGGTCACCTGCATAGATTGTTTCTTTGTGTCTGATGGTTGTGCGATTTTAGCTATTATTTCCTGCTTTGTGATCCAAAGTTAGTCTGAACATCCCTTCGTTGCATCTAGATCTTGTAGGTTCTTTCTTCAAATCATTCTTTAAGAAATATGCGACCACTTCCCCATAATTGCTTCAAGCAATGAACCTACGCTGATTTGACTTTTTGCACTTGTATGGGAAAAGTGTTCAGGGTGAAATGAATTTTTAAAATGAAGATGGGTTAGCATTCCTTGTAACAACTGTATAGGTCATGGAAAAACTATTAAGCAGTAAAACAAATGATCCTTATATTAAGCAGTAAAACCACTGGTTTAGGGTGGTCTGAATAAAAAATGAATAAATTCAGTGGGTGCATCTTTTGTTCCCCGCCGGATATCATGGATCCTTCTGCATACCTAGCATTAAATGTGATTATCAGTAAACTTTTATGTTTTGGAAGGTGTCAGCTTATTCTAAGACATATGTTAAGACTTAAGACACACAATTTAGAGTTCATCCTTTTATTGAGTTTCAAATTTTATATGCAAATTGTGACAGCTTGCAGGGTTTAAATTGGAGGTAGTCAAAACAGCATCTGCCGGCCATGCAAAAAAGCTGGCATCCACTGTTGATATCAGTACATTCCCTGATGGTTGTAGTACTTGAATACTTAACTACTTACTCTACCTTATGTTTTCGATGATTTTCAGCGTCTTATCAATTAGATGAATCTTAATCCTTCTACTTTCTTTCAGGAATTATATGTGTTGGGGGTGATGGTATTATCAATGAGGTTAGGCATTTCAAATTTAGTTAACTTGGACTGGTTACTGTTATGTAGTCTGCTGGTATTTTTGTTTTTACCATTAAGCATTTACCTCATCTTGGTAAATTTCTTAGCAGTTATCTCATCTTGGTAAATTTCTTAGGTTCTAAATGGTCTGCTTCATAGAGACAATCAAAAAGAAGGAATTTCTATACCCATTGGAATTATACCAGCAGGTTCTGACAATTCACTGGTTTGGACTGTTCTTGGAGTTAGAGATCCAGTCTCTGCTGCAATTTCTATCGTTAAGGTAATGCTGCTTAGCAAGTTCAACATGAGATGGTCTTTGCTTCTGGTTATTCTGTTGCTCCTTTATAGATTGATGCCTGTCTTTTTGGCCAAACCTTTTTGATCCATGGGTCAGAAATAGGCTAACAATGCTTTGATGATCCTAATTCTGTTGCTCCAAAGATTATTGGAGTCTGTATTTCTAATTATATGATAAAGCTAAAATGTATCTTCAAGGATGAAGTGTCGTAGGAACACTGCCCTTAAAACTGATTCCACCCTTTCCAGTAATATCCTAGTCTCAAGCAGAGCAACGGTGGATTCTGGTTTCCCAGGATTCAACAGCCAGTTATCTCTGTAATTTTGCACCTGAACTACAAAGATTGACTAACCAGTCTTTGGTTCCCACCAGCTTGTAATTTAAGTTACTAATTTACTTTTAAGTAGTATATAACAGTAATTATTTTCAATAATCAGACACGAGAAGAAAGCTTCGTGCAATTAGAACTAGAAATATGTATGCTTAACCAAATTACCAAGCCTAGTTGCAGGTTTACCAAGCCTAAGTATGTTTGTATTTTGATGTTTGTAGTGGATACCATCTATTGATACGTATTAGATTATGTGTCATTATAGTTAATCTGAACTATTTCTATCAATCCCTAACAATTCAAATTACTTAGCTGGTGAACAGAATATGCTATTCATAATGGTCAGTATCTTTTGCTTTTGCATCTCTATTAGCGGAAGCATGGTCTTTTTGTAATGACCATCATAATATGAAGAATGGTGGTAATACCAGATTTTCCTGTAATAGATGCATTAACTTCCTATTGGGCTTTTCATTGCCTACAATTGAGGTTCTCGTTGGTTTCAGGGAGGTCTTACTGCGACAGATGTTTTTGCTGTTGAGTGGGTTCAGACCGGTATTATTCACTTTGGGATGACGTGCTCCTATTATGGTTTTGCCAGTGATGGTATGTATTAGTTAAGAGATGATCTATCCTAGTTAGGAGAATAGTAATCAGTCAAATATTCTTCTTAGAATTATATATATATATATATATATTTTGTTTGAATGTGAACTGGTTATGCTTCGATGCTTCCTGACTAACATTCCTGAACATGTGGCCAACCTGACTGTGCAATACAGTTATGACCATGATAATCCATTTGGAATGATTTGAGTGTTCAACCTCAGTTCCTTATAGATGTTAAGTTTGTCTCTTTTTCTCATCTGTTGCAGTGTTAGAACTTTCTGAGAAATATCAGAAACGATTTGGTCCTCTTCGATATTTTGTTGCTGGGTTCCAAAAATTTCTGTGGTTGCCAAAGTACAACTATGAAGTTGAGTACCTTCCAGCTGCAAAAGAGGATCGAGGCTGTAAAAACTCTGCTGATAGGGAAGTGGTTGACATTTCAGACCTGTACACAGACGTTATGAGGAGGTCAAACAAGGATGGCATTCCCAGAGCTTCTAGTTTATCTAGTATAGATTCAATAATGACTCCTAGCAGAATGTCTGGAGGTGAGATGGACACATTTGGTACCACCCATGCCGGCACCGAACCATCTGATTACGTGCGAGGCCTTGATCCCAAGATCAAATGGCCATCATCTGGGCGAAGCAATGTGACAGCTGAGCCGGAGGTTTTTCATCCCCAGTTACCACATTCAGCCACTCTAAACTGGCCTAGGACCAGAACAAAATCCAGGACAGATAAAGGATGGAGTGGGTTAACGGCAGCAAATGATCCTTCTAGATGTTCTCGGGGTAATGCTGCAATACATGACAAAGAGGATATATCTTCTACGTTGTCCGATCCAGGTCCAATTTGGGATGCTGAACCAAAGTGGGATGCTGAACCAAAGTGGGACGCTGAGGTTAATTGGGATGTCGAAAATCTAATTGTGTTACCAGGGCCATCCAATGATGTTGAATCGGGAGGAAATAAGGAAGCTGTACCAAGACTAAAAGATAAATGGATTGTAACTAAGGGGCCGTTTCTCGGCATCTTTGTGTGCAACCATGCATGCAGAACTGTGCAGAGTTCTCAGGTGGTGGCTCCAAGAGCTGAACACGATGACAACACCATGGATATGCTTTTAGTCCACGGGAGTGGGCGACTGAGGCTGATGAGATTTTTCTTGCTGCTACAGATGGGTAAACACCTTTCACTGCCATTTGTGGAGTATGTTAAGGTATAACCTTTAATTTTCCTGCCGAACATAAACAATCTCGAATTCCAAATATAGCATATTGGTTGTTGAGCTTTAATTTTCATTTTATCAGTTCTGTAATAGGTGTTCATAGGACGACATAGATGTATTAGGAAAGCAACTCCTAGTCCGGGAAACGTCTAACTGTGACCTAAGATTGCTATATTTGCTAGATTAAAGTTCCAGTCCTGTGACCCAAGATTGTTCGAACCATCTAACTGCAACTTCAATTGAGATTCAGGTGAAATCGGTTAAGATCAAGGCCGGGAAACATACGCATAACGGTTGTGGCATCGACGGCGAGCTTTTTCCCCTCAAGGGACAAGTAGTATCATCTTTGCTTCCAGAACAGTGCAGACTAATTGGTCGCATCCCAGACCGTCATGTATAAACGGCCAAAACAGGTGCGTTTTCGTAATTTTCTTCTCGTCCGTCATATCTTCTGATATAATCATTTTTCATATTAGCACCTCCCAATTTCATTTGTGCCATTGCAGGCAATGAGGGTTGCTGTAAATTCTTTTTGTCAAGAATTTATCCATGTATCTCTTGTTTATTTGTTTCTCCTTTTTTCACAACTCTTTGGCATATACTCTTCTCTTGTTCATTTCTTTGTGTATAGCATATGAACACTTCATATTTACGCCCGTTTGTTAATAATATTTCGAGTTTTATTAATAACAAGATATGTTCGTTCGAATGGAGCTCAAGAGAATCTGATTTTGACCCATTTTTCTTATTAGACTGCATCTCGTGGTAGTGATTGTTAAAAAAAGGTTATACGAGGTGTTAGTGGTAGTATTTTTATTGTGATTTTGAAGTAGGTTTTTAATAGACTAATGGGTAAAGTAGTATATTAGAGATTATCGAACTATTTTGAGATGAATATTTTAGTTATTAATCTTTTAAAAGTTATAAAATAATTATTAAATTTATCAAAGTGTCATAAATTAATCATTAGATTCATCAAACTGTTATAAAATGTTCATTATATTTTAACGAATCGTTATAAAATAATCACTAAATTTATTAAATTTTTACACTTATTATAACGTGACAGTTGATAATTTTGTAACGATATGAAAATTATAATGATCACAAATTGGTCATTCTCCGAGGTTTTGGTTGGGGATAGTGTAGTTGTGGCATAGAAAGTTTGTGTTTTCTATCTTTATTTAAATTCGTTATTAAATTTTAAAATATTTTATATTAATTGTTAAATCATGATATCATTATAAATTAAGTTCTATTTTTTAAAAAAAAATTATATCAATCTTCAAACTATTAATATTATTCTATTTTGATCATTTTGTTAACATATCGTTAACTCTATTAATCTTCAAAGGTCATGAAAATTGAATATGTGACATTCTAAAAAATTGAATGTCTTGAGAATTGAACTCATGACGTTCAAAAAATAATAATTTATTTTTGAAATCCTTGAGAATATTTTTTTAGGTCACAAGTTCAATTTTCATGACATCCAAAACATATAAACTTTTTTAACTAATAGAATTAATAATACATTAATAGAAGGATCAAAATGAAATGATACTGATAGTTTGAGAACTTATATAAAAACTTTAAAAGTTTGGAGACCAATTTGGAATACGAGTCATAGTTTGGAAACGGATATAGAATTTTTTAAAATTTAAGGACCAAGTTAAAATAAAGGTCATAGTTTGAGGACATCTCATACAATTATCTCTAATTCTGAAGTCCGACGTCATAATCTAAATTTTGTGATTCTGTCTTTGAATACGCGCGTTAAATAATATTTTTAATTCAACAAAGGTATAAAAAGCATGGATGAGGAAATTGAACCAAAACAGGCAGGGAGACATTGAATAGCATTGAATGAGTGATTAATGCATGCAAACCCTAAATGAGTTATTTGTCATAAATAAATGCAAAGTTGAGATTTTGGAAAGCAATTTATACAAAGCCTAAGCTCCGGATTTGGGAATTCAATGTGAATGTGCTGTCATCTGCCAAATGTGAACACTCTTCTTCTTCTTCCTCAGTCAAATTCATATATATATACAAAACAACAATGGCTTCCATCTTCTTCTTCTTCAAACCCAGATCACCTCTCACAGACGGGTGATAATTGCACTTCCCCCATAATCCAAAAATGAAAGCCTTCTCTCCATGGGATTCCTGTTCCTCAATTCCAAACCAATCAAATCTTCAGTGCTTTCTTAAATGCACCACTCCTTCTCTTAAGGTAATGTTTCTTCTTAAATTTATCTTTGTCTATTTATACGTTTCGTGTTAATTTGATTTATACGAATTGTGTTTATTAAAATTACTGAGGCAGATCAATTCTTGACGCGTGTCATTTCTTTAAATTCTCTAGGATTAATCAAAAAGTTCTGATCAATTGTTGTGTTTTAGTTAAGATTAACTCATGACGCGTGTCATCTCTAGGATTTATTAAAAAGTTCTGAACAATTGTTGTGTTGTTGTTAAGATTAACTTTTAACGTGTGTCATTTCTTTAAATTCTCTAGGATTAATAAAAAAACTCTAATAAATAGTTGTATTGTAGTTAAAAATAACAATTAGGGTTTTATTTCGTATTCTCACAATCCAACATCATTCAATTGTTATGTAAATGTTGTGAAAATGATACCAATATTAATTTCTTTGAAAATTTAAAGAAAATTTTACGAGATTTATGAAGTGTTCATAATGTTTGCAACGTAACTCGAGATTGATTAAATGATATAATGGGTTGAAACATATATGGTTGAAGCTTTCTTCAGTTTTTGTTTTAATGAACATCTTCTATTTTACAGAAACGTAGTAAGACTTGCAATGGTGAAGCTGAGGAAACAAATGAAGGGTTCAAACTCGGTGAGCTTTGGCAGTGTTTTACCGAGTGGAGTGCTTATGGGGTTGATGTTCCGATTCGACTCAACAATGGCGACCGAGTCGTTCAGTACTACTCGCCTTCTTTATCTGCGTTGCAGTTATATACTATCAAACCCATTTCGTCCTCCACAGGCTCCGGCCAACAAATTGGTGATGATTTTAGGTATTTTCATTCTTTCTCTTTTTCAATTAGGTAATTTTAGGGTTAGTATTGATTGATTTGAATCAATTTAACCTATTAAAACGAATGTATTTCATTCTATCCGAATTTAAAATTTATCATAAATATAATTAAGTAGACGAAGTAACTCACTATTTTATTTTTGTTTTAATACAATACTCCTTCTAGCTCAATTAAATCGTTACAATTTAATAATTTTACGTAATTTTTTTGATAAAATAATATCTTTGTCTTTTCTAGTTTTTAGATTAAAATGCTTAATAGATCCTTGTTCTTTTAATGTAAAGCAATTTAGCCCCTCCCGATATTTAGTCTTTGTTTTATCTATGCTTATGATTAAATTTGATTTAATCGATATCTTTAGAACCGAAAGTATGTATCGTATTCTCATCCTTACTTAATTTTCAAGTTACTTAAAAACTTTGGAGATTCGAAACCTAAAACCCTAACCATGTTATAACATATGATGCCAAGGGGTAGAGACAAAACTAAGAAGACATCGAGCAAACATAAGAGCTCGGATTTGGCTTCCAATCCAACGACGAATGACGATGATTCACGTGATATTCAAATCACAATGGATCAATGTGGCTACTTGTGCTTCCAATACAACGAGACGATGAGTCCTTACGATCGAATTCCGTTTAAAGAAAAGGTAATCAAATCAAATCTTGTAAATATTTTTATTTGAATCTAATCGAGCCTGACATATATGTGATTTTACTTTTGAACAGATCAGTGAGTTGAGCAAAGAGTACTCGGGCTTAGTTGATCTCCACAGCAAGGATCTTTCACCATATAGTTGGATGGCAATAGCTTGGTATTAATTTTCCTTCTCTCTAATCTTTGATTGAGTTTGCATGCTTTAGGGTCTAATTAAGAAGTGCTCCTATCTAGTTTAAAAAAATTGGAAATTAGTCCATTTAGTTTATTTGTTAGAATACGAAAAGTGAGAAATTAGTCCACTTGTCCGTAAATTCATTATAACTCCGTCCTCGTGCCTTAGGAAATTTGAGAAATTAGTTCGATTGATGGTAGATTTGTCAGAATTTGATCGTCTTATCTTACAAAAATTGAGAACCCGGTTCATCTGTTGGTAAAACATAAACTATTGATTATTTCTAATTTGCCGTGTATGAATTGTTGTTTTTATACAATATATTGGACTAGCTTCTCAGCTTTTATAAAATACGAGGACTAAATCTGACAAATTAAAATAAAGAGATTATAAGTTTTTTAATTTTTGTAAAGTAAGAGGTGAAATATTTCAGAATTTGACCACAGTTGTATTTCCTTTGGCAGTGGTAAAATAGTAATTGTGAGTAAATGTTTGATTATTTGTAGGTATCCAGTGTATCAAGTTCCAGGGGCAACAAATGTGAGAGAACTGTCTGCTTGTTTCCTTACTTACCATCCATTGTCCTCCCTATCTCTAGGTATTTCTCTCTCGAAAATATAGTAAATTTTGAGATTTGAATTTCATTTAATCTTATAAAGTTGTTTCTTTTTTAATTTATATTTTATAATGGTTTTATTACGATTTTAATCAGTTTGATTTATTTTTCAAAAGATAATTTTATGAATCAATTGAATTAAAGCCTAAGTTCATGAACACGCGATTTTCGGGTTGATGTTATCTCAGGTTCCGAAAACATAAGGTTAGGGCCGGAGATAGTCGAGGGCAAAAGATCAGGCATGTCGAGGGTGGAAGAAATTTGCCTCCCTTCCTTTGCAATGGTTACTTACAAGATGTTTGGAACACTGTGGATGAGCCCCGGAACATCGGATTCCGACACCGTTCTCTGTCAAAGGAACGCGGCGAGCTACTGGTTGGAACAACTTCTGTTCCACCACCATGACTTCAACTTCTTCATGTCTCGTCAGTTCCAAAACTACTAATTTTAACCGCCATGACTTCGACTTTTTCGATATTTATATTCGATATCGGTGTCTAACACCAAATATAAGTATAATCCTTCAAATGTATGAAAAATTTGAAAAACAAAATGTTTATGTATACTTGCTTCGGATACTTTTAAGATCGAACATTCAGGTTCAAGTCCAAGTAATATGTAAACAATTATATGTGTTGTAACTTATATATACAAACTTTTTTTTCATTTTCAATTGTCTAGAATCAAGCCATGTGTAATTATGTTCATTTGCATTATGTTATCGGTCTGTTCATTTATATATTATAATGATTGGTTTGGATTCACTACAAGAAAATAAGTTTTTAGCGGCGTTTTTTCAGTCATATAGCGACGTTTTTAAGTGCTGCTAAAAACCCTTGTGGTGAAAAAAATGCCGCAAAAAGCGTCACTAAAACCAACGCCGCAAAAGGTAGCAGCATTTGCGGACGAAAAACACCCCTAAAGGTTATGATTTTAGCAGTGTTGTTGAGAAATGCCATTATATATCTTTTCTTTTATGGCGTTTGTAAAAAAACGCCGCTAAATGTTCTGACATATAGTGGTGTTTGTTCCCAAAAAGACGATAAAGGTAGTGAGATATAGCGGCGTTTGTGAATGTAAAACGCCGCTATTGACTATGGCTATAGTGGCATTTTCTGTATAAACGCCGCAAAAGATCTAGAACTTTAGTGGCATTTATTTTTCTAAAACGTCGATATTGATTATGTATTTAGTGACATTTTTATACAAACACCACTAATTAAAACTGATTTTTCATATGCTGTTTTCTGCTCTTTTGTTACCCAAATTTAAATTTTTAACATGTAGCATTATCCAATAAACTTGACATCCATAACAAACAAACTTGAAATCTATAACAACCAACTTGAAATCTATAACAACCAACTTGAAATCCATAATAATAAATCAAAGTTTACATTAACGTAAAATATAATGAAGTTCAACATTGTTAACTAGAATAAACAAAACATATATCTAAAATAACACCTAGATGGTGGACTCTGTGGTTGATTTTGTCATATCATCTGCATCATAGCTTGAATTCGATTTTTAAAGTCTTCACATTTTTTCTGATATGCTACTACTCTCTCTGCTTCCCTCGCTTCAGTTTCTGCTTTCATTTGAGCAACTTTTTGATCCATTTCAACCAACTGTTGTTTTAAACGACTAACTTCTAATTGGGAAGACTGACTCTGCGATGACATGTGAACCTGACCATATCCTTCAGGACCCAAAAATTCATTAATAACTTGATTTTCGATTTCATCTGCGTTAACAATACCATGACTTGAAGTCGTAGCTTCATACTCCGCCCTTTTATCCCTCAATTTTTCCTAATAATCAATACAATAATTATTATAAATAAAAATGTCATACTATAGATATAAATATAACATAATTCAAATCTTGTGTCTAATAAATGTACCACAATTTCTGCAGCTTCATTAGTCATAGGAGTGTCATCCTTTTTTGTATGTGTCATGTCGAAGAGCTTTATTCGTCCAACTTTACAACCAGATGTATTTTCCTACAATATAGAATAAAATTAAGTCTTACAAAAAATTAATTAATGATATAAATAATTTTCGTTACTATGTGCTACAAACTGTAAATCACTATGTGAATAATCAATAATACCTCATCATTAGCTATACAAGTAAAGTTCTTCGATCCAGCTGTGTGAGTAAACTTTTGTTGTTGTCTGCTAGCAACACCAACATGTTCTCGTACCTGCAATTTTAAATTTGTACTTATAAAGTCAATATTATAATGACATTATATTAGTTTTGAAAAATACATCATACTTGTCCTTTCTTTGAACTTAAAACCTGAATGCATCTTCCCATTGATACCTGAGCATTCCAGGTGGGACAGTTTGCAGCTTCTCTTCAAGGCTGAGATCTTTCTTGAAGTATTTCTTTTTTAAAGAACTCTTGTGATCTCTCCATTTCTTTCCTAACACTTGCTTCAAATAATTGTCTGAGATCTCTAAAGAAAATTTCTCCTACAAATAACATATGTGTTTAAAGTTAATATAAATTACTATTGAACTGTTATGAATTATCTATTATAATGACATTATTACCTTAACAAAATCTAAAGCCTGATTTTTGTTACTATTTCACTCCATGACTCATAATTGATCGTTAAAAGATTAGCATTACGTGCAAGCTTCCATATGTTTTTCTGGCTGTTAGAGAAAAATTATGATGGTTGGAATAAAATGGAATTCCGGTGAATAGAGAAAGGGAAAGAGAGCTTGACCTGGGAAAAAAATAGGGAAGCTTTTAGATCTAAGACCACAAATATGGTTTAACCCAAGTTCATGGTACTTATAAAATTAATTTGTCCCTTATTAGCACCAACCATAAAATAGAAGAAGCTTGCACATTCTAATCGTACATTTCTTCAGAGCTCAAACATTATGGCACATTGTTCCTTGACCACTATAAGAAATTGCAAGCTCAAGTCTAACGGATGCATTAGAAGAGACAATGGTCTATTCATCACAAAAAACTGCTTCACGTTTTAAATCATTTTAAGGAACAAATGGTTTATTGCATAGATAATCCGTCACATACTACACAAGTCATATTATATACTTCTCGATTCATTATAGACAACTTATCAGATATATTTCATGATAAGAAACCGCAGAATAAATTTCCTTACCAATATCTTCCAGTGTTGAAGGTTTTGTCACTTTAGTCCTACTCTTATCTCCATTGGGTTTACCTTCAATCTCATCATCCTTCTTATAATCATTCGGTGGAAGATAGGGACCAATATCCCTCACCCAGCTTGCAGCATAAAGCCTAGAGGCCTCCTTCAAGACCTAAAGAGCGATGAAAGATATTTACTGCTAATATACTTGGAAAAAATTCCCTTTATTCGCTAGAGCGTAGGCAAATCATAGGTCCTTGGGCATCATTTGATATTCAAATTATTTAATCAATTCAAATTTCAATGATCCAATTTGCACCAGGATTACCAGTATGGCATATGTGAGATTTCTATCTTTTTATCCTTAATTTGTTACAAACAACAAAAGAACTTTAGAACACACATCTTGATTAAAGGTGAAAAAAACATGTATTTCTTTTCCATAAGATAAACAGTTCGAAAATATTTTACTTACAGCAATAAGAAAAATGGAAAAAAAAACCAATCTCAATTTTATACTATAATGGAGAAATGATAGAATTATGCTCTTTAAAGCAGCAGTAATATCTAAACCAAAAGCCAATAGTAAAGTAGATTTTCCATTACATAAAACATCAACAAATACAACTATTTAAACAGGAAAAGAAAGAAAGAGAACCAAAAAAAATAGCATTCATCGTTAAAACCCAGAAAACAATCAGTAATCTAAACTCTAACAGCGGAAGGGAAACTGGAAAAGGAAACTTATTAGGAAACACTCGTGTACATGTACGGCATATAAAATCCAAATAATCTGAAGCTTCTAAGATTTCGAATTGGCAAAATTAAAGAGAAACAATTTGAGAGGCATAAATTAAAGAAAAATCTTTACAAATAACGAATGAGTGCAAAAAGTTACCTTTCGAACGAGAGAGTGAAATATATTTGAGTCGGCGTTTAAAGGGCGTCCTAATTTAGCCGGTGCAGTTTCATAAATAGATTTGAGACAGAATACGACGTCGAGAAGATGACGGCTAGAAGGATGGCGTGTGGCGGAGAAGATGTTGTACTAGAGAAGAAGTTTTTAGGGAAGAAGAGGTTCAAAAGAATTAGGGATCAGGCATGATAAAGGGGGAGATAAATTTATCATTTCGCAACGTTTACATTAAAAAATGTCACTAATGTATGCGATTTTGCGGCGTTTTTATAACAAACGCCACTATTTACGCGTCTATTGTGGCGTGTGTAAAAAAACCCCACTATTGTACAATTCTATCGCGGAGTTTTGCCAAAAACGCCACCTCTTGTCATTCTATAGCAGCGTTTATTCTAAAACGATACTAAAGTATGCGTTTATAGAAGCGTTTTTAAAAAAAGCCAGTACAATATGGATTTAACGACGTTTTCAGAAAGAAAAAAACGACACTATATATCTGACTATTACTGTATTTTTTTACATAAATGCCACAAAAGTATGCATTTTTAGCGGTGTTTCCCCAAAAATGACACTATATATTTGGATATCGCGACGTTTGTCCAAAAACGCAGCTATATGTAAAAAATTAACGGCATTTTCTGTAAAAACGTCGCTACAACCAATTGTGATCCACCGCAAAGCCCATCGAAAAGCGTCCTCGGGTAATAATTCCTTCATTTCATCAAACTTTCGGCTCAACAAGAGCGCAAGCAACAACGAGTTCATAGACTTTACTGTCCTCGGGCAACGATACTGAGGAATTTCGTCTAACAGCTTTAATGCACATTCGTGTAACTTCGCCCAACCATAAATCTTCATGACACTGCAAAAAATGATATCCTCTGGGACTATCCGCGTGTCGTTTTTGTGAAGGTGAAGAACTTGCTCCATTTCTGCGAACATTTAGAATCGGCCGAGCTTGGTGATGATGAGGTCATAGGTAAGGAGGGAGTAACAGAAGGGTTTGTCAGTAGGTTTTTTAAAAGGTTGAACACTAGGGTTGGGTCTTTTTAGTTGCAGAGAAGATAGGAGAGCCTAAACTGAGAAACGGGTTTTGGAATTTTCAACAAAGAATAAAATAAAAGTTTAACTTTTAATGTTCACATTTATAGTGACATTTTTAACATAAACGCCACTATATATTAGGCTATTGCGGTGTTTTTAACATAAATTCCACTAAAGTACTCGTACTTTAGTGACGTTTACACAAAAATGCCACTATATCTGGCTATAGTAGCATTTTTACATAAACGCCACTAAAGTACACGTTTTTAACGACGTTTTCAAAAAAATGCTACTATATATCTATCTATAGCGACATTTTTACATAAACGCCACTAAAGTAT